AAAAGGGGATTCCACTGATTAGTTGAATAGTTATGATGTAAACAGAGTCATTCAGAGTGGTTTGATATGAAATGTTCCATTGTGCAGAGTCAGAACTGTTCACAGTGTTGGTGATAGGAACCAGATGTCTGAAGAGTTCAATGCCTCTAAAAGTTCCCTCAAAGAAAGTTATTACATGAAATTACATGACGCCTGAGACATTATTTTACAATTGTTTCACAATAAGCTGTTCATGGTGGAGAGGTTCATGTAGGACATGTAGGTTAAATATTATTTTTAGATTTTCTACTATTTTACCATCATCGTCATTACATATAAAAACTCAGAAAACCCTTTAAATACAATCATAAAATTCAATCACTCACATATTTTCCACCTCTGCTTTAATGCTAGGGTTGGGTTACATGCAGAGAGACACCACAAAGACAGGAATATGCAGTGGTGTGTTTGTGGTTGGTCGTTTCTAATCCTCTGAGATCTTTTGAGGCTGCTGACATACAACTCTCGTTTTCTGCTCACCTGAACACTTTAACTCGCTTAAAACCCCCGGAGAACACACTGCTGAATGTGGGGGTCTGTAAGCACAGCAGTGAGAGGAAAGTTAAACACTTTAATGCCAGGTTAAAGACAGAGGGATTAGCTTTAACATGGATGGAGGAATAGATACTCTTTCATGCATTGAAGAGCCTTTAATCTCTCGCTCTTTTCTTTCCGTCTCCATCCGTCTCCCTCTCACTGTGTGGCCTGTAGCTAGAGTACACACATGAATAAGAATGAGACTCTCAACTCACCCTCATGCATTTATTGAGTGCTCACGACTCATCCTCACCCTCACCACCACTAAATTACACCCTGAACATTTTCAAATCACTTACTAAATATCTCTTCTACTATAATAATATGTTTAATAGGAATGCATAATATTAGAAATATATCAGTATCAGCAGGTAATTAATAAAAAAACAATTCTCAACACAGACAGATGATTTGATATTATCGATATTTGGTAAAAAAATTACTGCAGGATTAGTCATCTAAAATTATCTGCATTTCATTCATTTTACTACATTTGTAACCCTAGAAATAAATTAGAAAAAAGATTGTATTTCTCTGTAATGCTCCAAATTGATTGAACTTTATAGGAGGAAGCAAAAACATACTTCAATTTTAATGTAAGTCAATGGAACCAGACTTTTTTCCAAGTACTTTTGGGCCGTTTCTTTTGGTCCAATGTAAAAGGCAACAAGTACTTTCAAATTTTGTCAAAAACTGAAAAACGACAAAATGTTGTGGGTTTTGTTCCGACAGCAGAGATATGTTTATGTAAAGGTATCAGCAGATATCTGCATAAAATGGAAAACTAGGAGTAATTCAGTCCCAACTAAGGACATTCGTGGGCTGAATTCCAAGGCTAAAGAGAGTGCAAAATCATCCTGCGGATAGATGGAAGAGAGAGGCATTTCAGCATCGGTCCAAGACTCCCATGAAGGTGCATCCCTAATAATCAAATCATGCACTTTCCAGCATACTTTGAAACAAGTGATGTACTGAATGTACTCAACTGAAATATGTACATCATATCTGCATATTACAATAGTACAGTCATTACCATAAATAGGTAAACTAAAAGACCAAGCAGTGCTGATGAAATATATCTTACTATTATTCCTGTAAACTTTATGTTCACATTTAAATCAAGTATATTAAATACATTACTTTTTTAGTGTGAGCTGTGTTTTGGCAGTCTGGACATGTTTCACTCACAAGTTTATGGAGATATTTGTAAAATCAGCCCTTTTCAGACCTTCCAAATGTGTGGTCCAAATAAACAGACTGGTCATTATAAATATATCACTGCTGTCGAAACAAAACCTTATATCTTGAAAATGGTAACTTTACAGGAGAAGCCAAAAACATATTTTACTTTTAATGTAAGTCAAGGGAACCAGAATTCTTTTTACATCATTTTGGGCCGTTTCTTTTAGTCCATTCATTGTGAAATTTACACACAGTGTAAAGGGCAACAGGCATTTTCAAATTGTGTCTCGAAAACGGCAAAAATTGATATATATATATGTTGCATTGAAAATGAGATGTAGAGCCTTTGGTTGGACCTAAAGGACCATGTTGAGGTACATTTACATTGTTTGTATCATGGGAGACAAAAATTCACCAGGACATCACTCTAACTCATACCCCTAACACGAGTGTGACATGTGAATGGCCGTAACTAAAGGGTCTGCCAGTTTTCAGTCTAATTAGGCCTGGCTGAGGGCTGTTACTCTGCTGGCCCTGAGCCCAGTCCATAAGAACATCCATATGCTCTCAATAACAAGCACACAGCCTGGACTTCTACCGGTAAAAACACACTGCAACACACTTCACTCTGACAACAATACACACAGCAGCATACTGAGAGCACAAAGGGGTCCAAGCACCTAGTAGAGGTCACCTGGTGAGAATATAGCCTGAGGTGCATTTGTTCCTTTTCTTCTCTCCTTCTCTCTTTTTCTTTCTCTGTCTCTCTGTCATCTTTACGACTTTATCCATTTCCACTTTCTCTTCTCTATTCTACTTTTACTTCTTTAGTTCCTAAATCACTACAAAACATTACAGCATAACAATTGGTTAAAGAGAAATTCCACCATTTCCTTAAAATGTCATTAGTATGTAAAAACAAAGTCACTCCGTGTGATTTGATGTGAAATGTTCTGGTAGAGAAACTTACAGAGTCAGAATTGTTCACAGTGGTGGTGATAGGAACCAGACATCTGAACAGTTAAAAGCCCCTAAAAGCTCAAATCTTGCAAATGTTTGAAATTCCCTGGTCAAATTTCATGTTTTGTTGATTTTCTATCTGAAAATAAGTTAACACATCATCAATAGAGAACTTAAATATGGCACTGCTCTGCAAATATTAGTGCACAATTTTCATTTATTTGCTGAGTTAAACATATTGGGAAAAATCAAACATATAAATTATAGTATGTGCCATAACTTTTGCACAAGCCACATTTTGTTTTGTCAAATTCAGCAAATAAACACTAATTGTGCATTAACATGTGCAGAAGTATGTTCTCTGCAGCAGACATGTTCAACTAACACTTGTTGGAATAAGCCTTTATAAATGTCTGTGTAGATCTATGTCAGTTGACATGAAGTATTGTAGGTTATGTAGGTGTCGTGTAGCCTTATGAACACTGCCCTACACTAATGTGTTAATATTTTAATATTTTAACTTTAACACAGCTGAAAAGTTCTCATTAAACTAAATAAAATTAATCATTAACACAAAAATATTACAGCATACATTAGGTTTACCGCCGTGTGAGGGGGAGTGCATTACGCAGTGTGTGATAGTGATGCTAATGAATGCTCTATAAGCTAAACAGATAGACTGGGGGGCAATAGCACCGTCCCACAGACTTCTGTCCCAGTACGGAGCCTTTATGACCCAGTGAAGGGACAAACAATACAGGTCCCACTCTTTAGTGTCTCTTTAACTACCTCCTCCCCTCTCCTCCTTCTTCCCTCTCTCCACAGGACGATTTCGCACTCTCTTTAGCCTCGGAATTCAGCCCACAAATGTCAGTTGGGACTGAATTGCTCCTAGTTTTCCATTAATGCAGATGTTGTTGAAGTTTACTCCAGGACAGTGTTTACAGCGACTAACGGTCAAGAACGTTGAAAGAACAGAAGTTAACCATGAAGGAATCATAAAGGGACCATAAAGAGAGGCCATTGCAAACATACATGAATAAGCTCACAATGTCAAATACATCCACACAAAAAGACTTTGGGGTTACTGCTACAATAAACCATGTAATTCAGCAGTTAGCATGCAGTTAGCAGGGTGTGGATGGCTAGTCACAGACTAGGCCATCAAAAATAAAAAATGGCCATCAAAAATAATACCATAAGGAAAGAATACACCAAAAACTAAGTGCTATGGGTCTGAAAGAATGTGTAACAGTCAAGAAGGCCTCACTGAGAAAAGAAGAACATTTGCAGTAGAGCATCAAAACTGGACATGCTGAGATGTGGAAGGTTTTATGGACTGAAGAGTCTAAATTTGGGATATATATATATATATATACACATATATATATATATATATATATATATATATATATATATATATATATATATATATATATATATATATAAAATTTTAGACCAGTGTCTTTTGTATTTTGTACATCAGATATCATACATCAATAATGCAACTCAGCTGTATTATCATCTACATCTAAGATACATTTATAACATAACATGTCTGTTCACATCACTTTTAAATCCATATGATTACAGTAATGGAACTGAATGTCAGAGTTATCATTGCATTTAGACTGATATTCCACTAAAGAATAACTGCATCATAAAGTCATTTGATAATCATTAAAAACTTTCCATAGGCTTCATTTAATGCAGCTAAACGGTAAGATACATCACTATTATCCTAATACTGTTACTCCATTAAAGTTAACTGTAACATAATCTTGACCTATAATCAGCTGGCCTTTTATCTTCATACATCCTTACACATATTTGTGAAACTGGCCTATAAGTGTCATTAGTGAGGGTTGTGTTCGAGTATGTGGGCGCAGAGACTTTCCGCATATGTGTGAATAGTGGCGGGTGTAGTTAATGTGTATGTGTGTTTTGTGTTTGGGGGAGTAGTGGTTAGGAGGGGGTATGTGGGCTGGGTGAAAGTGTGTCCCTTCTGTTATTGGCTCTAGGTCTACTGTCACATTATGCGTCTCATTGTGTCTTTTGTGGGGGAGAGGGCTATAAAAGCCGGGGTTCAGTCAGGAGTCCTCAGTGACACCCTTACAGACAAGAGGATCAAGGGTCTGCATGTTTGAGCACTGCTAAACCATAGCAATCCTTAAACGTAGAGATCCAAGTGCTACTTAAGGTTTTGTCCTGCAAAGCACTGAATTGATCACACTTTAAAGTTTTTTTTTGGAAGGCATTTTTTGATTTTGTTTTAAGTGGGATATTTTTAGGCAAAAAGCTTTTGCCATATCTGATCTTCAAAGATGGATTCAGACACCGGTTCCACCTGCAGTCGTTCCTCAACCCCGGATCTTGCCATGGACTCAGCTGTCGGTGGCTTCTTTTCTGAAAAGATGTTCCAGGCCTACTGTGGAGACGAAGCTGGGCCCATTCGGCCAGGACGTCCCAGAGCAGAAGGACCTCAGGCCGCCTCAAGCAAGAATCGGAACCGTGGTGAGCTCTCCAAGGAAAACCTGCAGGAGCTGAGACTCAAGGTGAACAGCCGCGAGCGCAAGCGCATGCACGACTTGAACCAAGCCATGGATGGGCTCAGGGAGGTGATGCCCTATGCTCAGGGCCCTTCTGTGCGCAAGCTGTCCAAGATCTCCACCCTCCTGTTGGCCCGCAACTACATCCTCATGCTGTCCAGCTCACTGGAGGAGATGAAGAAACTGGTGGGGGATGTGTATGGGGCATCCCAGAGCCATCCAGCCAGGCCGGTGGTGCCCCAGCTCCCCCAGATGCCCTTGCACCCACTGGCACAGTCCCTACACTCTCTGGTGGGAAACGGGACAGCAGGCGGCCCATCAGCAACTCAAGCCCCCCGTTCCCCTCCATCCGCAGGATACCTGGGTTTCCATGCACCTCCACCACTGCCTTGCCTGCTGAAGGACCCACTACATTTGACAAGTTCTTACCGCCACTTTCCCGGCATGCCTTGCCCTTGTTCACTCTGCCAGCCACTGCCAGCAACCACAGCGGCCAGCCTACACAGCCTGTCCATGGGCAAGTGAGCCATGTGTGGGCAGGGACAAGCAGAGGGGGCCCAAACCTAATAGACTTTTAGAGAAAAATGGACAAAAAACTGTAAATGTTTGGTGTGCATCAGGGGCATCCTTTAGGTCCAACACAGTTTAGTGATTTCCCTGCTCACCCCTACTAAAGCTGGTAATTGAGTGGTGTTTGAGTAGGAAAATGACCAAACTGCACTGGTTTACTGACCTTTAGGGCCAGAAGCTGGTCACTCTTGTATATAATGTTCTGTTGAACATGCTGTTGTTGAAGCATTCCTGACATAAACCATGAAGTCTTTTGCATTGTCACAGAATGTGCACTGATTGCTAACCAGTTCCACTGGCAAAAACCAAATGTGAATGTAATATTTTGTACAGGTGATTTTTTTTGTACAGTTGACAATTCCTTAAATTAAAGCTTTATTATTGTTAAATTATGCTGTTTCTTCTTCTTCCTTACACTCAAAAACTCATTTCTATATAATCTTTAGCAAAGAAACTGTCTTAAGCTAATCACATGACAAAATTTGAGTGAAAATAAACCCTGTTTTAATATTAGAGCATATTACTAAGTAAATACAGGGTGCAACTGTGTGGGTATGTGCATATATATATATGTGTGTGTGTGTGTGTGTGTGTGTGTGTGTGATAACCACTGCAGTAAGGCGAATATAATTATAAAACCTTTTAGAGGAAGCATAAAAGCAACTCAGAAGAACTGAAACACAAAGGACCTGTCAAGAGTGGCAGCTGCTAACTAGACCAGTGATTGTGGATGTGTTTATTCATCAGAAGATATGATGTATATTCAATAAAAATGTGCTCCATATGTACCAAACCTTTCCAAAGCCATTATGTCAATATTGTCCACTACATTTTTAATGCTTTTAACTAGCTGGGCAAAGACCAATCCATGCAGTACCGATATGGACAGTTTGGAGCCCGAGGCCCATAGACACCCAGCGGACAGGGTTAGGGCAGAAAGGAGTGGGCTGCCGCCAGGTCGGCGCGTCGCTATTGTGAAGCGCACACAGGGGGACAGGGACAGTTTCTTTTCATGTGCACTCAGGAAGATTTGTCAATGTCCAATAAAGCTGTGGTCATATTCAGCCCTCGGCAACTGTCATCAATTATGAGAGGGCCTGGCATCTGTGCGCAGACATTTGTTAAACAGAGAGCAAGAAAGTACATCCAGAGAAAATCAACTTGTTCTCCCTTTATGAAAAATGAGAGGTTAAGTGCTGCCAATTCTCGGAACATATACAGTATGTACATGAATATATGTTAAATAACAATACTACTATAGTTCATTTGTCATAGGTTAGGTTAAAGCTAGTTTTGAAAAATTCCAATTACACAATCCTCTCAATCTTTTCTTCGGTTTTGCACTGGGGTTATGGGGCTAACATAGCTAACACATAATGAAAGCTCATAGCAACTTGTTTAGCATTGTGTACATTGCCGAAATCATCACATGCCTGCCTAAAACAGCATAAAGTTGTTATGTAATCTCTAATACACTTGCTTTTGTGGTTTCTAATATGACATATTGGCCTATATATTCATCTTAGCTAACTTGTTAACCTTGTTTAAGAAATCTTTGTTCTTGTAGCTAATGACTGTAGCTAGCTAGCTATTTTGGCTCACTACCTAGCTATTATTTTCACAAACATGCACACATACCTTGTTTTTCAATATGTCAAAGTCATTGCTCCTGATGCAGTTTGTGAGAAATGTATGATGACTCAAGCTTGCAGTTAGCTCGATGGCTAACTGCTGAGGTAAAATTAGCTTCCTTTACTTGTTAGCTAATTAGATGTAAACAAATGTTTAAAAACATGTTTTGGCTAATCTAGTACATTTGAGTTTAGGGAAAATAGTGTAGATTTTTATGTTTTTCATAGCAGTTAGTCCTTCTTAGCATTAGCGATTGCACGAGCACTGCTACGAGAGCATTAGCGCTGGAGATCTTCATTCACTCAGCTTTTTTCCTTTCCTTTTTTTACACGCAAACACAAATACACACCCTTGCACTTCTCAGGAGCTAAATCGGCCGTGAAAAATACATGCTCCTCCTTGCGGGACCCTCAGTCCTGACGAGGGAAAGATCAGAGGAGAAATGAAGAGATGTTTCTTTTCTCCTCCTCCGCTTCCCCTCCCTCCCTCCCCTCACTTTCAATGGCCCAGCACAATGCTGTTCGCTCACGGGACAAAGAACAAGGAGATGGGGGGCGCCTGAAACACAGCCACCCCCTTCTTTCCCCCCTTCGCCCCTTCTCTCTCTCTCTTTCTCTCTGTTTCTCTCTCCCGCTCTTTCTCTCCCCTGCATTTCATCATGGTAACAAGGCAGGTCAGCCCACAGAGGGCCCTGACACTCAAAGCCCACACAAAAGCGGTTAGCTCCTCATTTATGGGCCTCCATTGACACTGCTGAGGGCTCCCGTCAGCTGCAGGACGTCCCAGCGGGGGCAGGCAGCTGCCAGCCTAGCCTGGAGAAGGAGATCCCACAGTGGGACGTGGAGTTCTCCCCCCTCTTGCCCCCCCTCCTTGCCTTGATTCTGGTTCTGGGACCCCCCCAAGTCCCCTATCCCGACCCAAGCACAGGTGGGAATGGGAAGCTAAGCACATTGCCCCGGGATTAGCGGGACGTCGTGGCCCAGCCTGCTGCAGGGGGATAATTAGACACATTGACTTGTGCAAAAGCTGGTGTTTCCTGATTGGAGGCAGATGGTAAGGGACTGGGACGGAGGGGCGGCAGCAGGGGTACGGGAGGATGCAGGGTATGGGGTGAGAAATGGATCACTAGATAACACACATAGTTATAACTTAAGTTATTACAACATAAGCAACTGGTTGCACCCGCTCCACTTACATGTTGGTTATAGAGATTTAACAGCTTTATAGTAAAGTCTGCACATTACTAAATTAAAACGCAGGCAACTGGTAACATAGCTAATGCTAGCACAAGACTAGCTAATGTTAGAGTTGCAGTTGTTTGGTTTGGGGGGGGGGGTCTTTCCAAAGCCATCCAGGCTCACATTCCTTACCAGCTTCAGTACTGTGCGAAAGTCAGAGATGTTCCACAGTTATTTAATTTCCAGTCAAAATGGCCATTAAAATCTGAGCTCTTCATTTTTCATGGGAAAATCAAAATTTTCAGTATTAGTGTAGCTTCAAATTACAGCTTCAGTTCTTTTCCAGAGACTTTTTTTTTACCTCCAAAGTTCAGTCCTAGAAGTTGGTTGCATTTTATGCTTCTCACGATCCAAATAATCCCAAACACATTCAGTGATGTTGAGGTTAGAACTCTGGGGTGGTCAGTTCATTGTTCTGAGGACATCAGCAGCTTATTTCTTTGATGTGTCTACTTGTTTTTCTCAGTAATAACTTTCTGAGGATAACTCAGAAAGTTATTACTGAGAAAATAACTACAGGATAACTACACATCCTTTCAGACCCAAAGCACTGAGGATGGACGGACTTCTACAGATCTGAAGCAAGTTTTAAGTGCTGTTTATCTGATGGACACAGTTGCGGTGGTCTACCACGTCTTGCAAGTGCTTGTTAGGAGTGAAGAGTGGTCTCTGATGTCAAAATATTTCGTAGCTACAAAGCTCAGCATATTGTTGTAAATACCTTGTACATTTAATTTAGATGTACTGCCCATAAGTGTTCTTTGTGAAGCCTTTTGTGGCTGTGCTTTGCTTTTTATTCAAATGTACTGATTTACTATTGGTATTCTGTACTGTATTTAAGTACACTAGACCAATAAAATAATCCTAATTCTGATTTTCTGAAGAGTTCCTTACTGAAAAGGAAACTGAAGAAATTCCCAAGACTTTAAAGGGAAAATACACAAATGTTTCTTAATTTCTGCCTAATTAAAATTTCATTCAGAGCGGTTTGATTTGAAATGCTCCATTCTAGAGAAACTTGCTGAGTCAGAATATTTCACAGTAGTCATGGTAGGAACCAGACATCTGAAGAATTTACTGCCTTCAATAGCTCCCTCAAAGACAAGTATTGCACGAAAAGCTTCTGAACACACTGCCTGATGCCTGAGACAGTGTTTTACAGTAGTTTTGAAATAGACTCTTGGTGTAAGATGTATTTTTTTCAAATTTATTCATGGCAGAGGTACATGAGACAGATTTACCTCTATTTTACAACAATACATCATTACACATAAAAATTTGGCAGGTTCAATGGTCATTTCGGATAGTAAATTAAACGGCTCTATTTGCATTGTAGATATGGCAACCCTCAGTTCCTTTCACCATTAGTGTAATGAAAATTTGGTACTGGTGACCATATGGATAGTGTTTCTCCACATTATTCTGTCTTCTGTTTGGGTCCTCAGGCTTCTCAATATTCCTCTGATTCCTCTGATTGTATTCATCCATCTTGTAGCTGGTCGTCCTCTTCCTCTTTTACCTTCAGCTCTTCCAAGTTACGTTACAATGCAACAAACTACTCAGAATGGTTTTGTTTATGTCTCAAATATTGGATTACGCATTTTTGAAAAATCCCCTTATATCATGAAAGTAATGTTAAGTAAAGTGATTAATGTCTTTCTGTATGTTTCACAACAAACATTTCACAAAATCAAGATGGGAATAGATGGCATTTAAATGGCATAGAGCTTCACTATCATGTCACTATGCAAAATAAAATACTTTTAATGTACGTATGCACAAATGTAATGAGATCTTCTGTAAGTAGATCTATTGGGCCATTCATCATTTAACTTTCACACAAGGTAAAGTGCAGCTACTGCGTTCAAACGAGGTGAAAAGGGATGGAGATACTTGGTGGGTTTTTATGGACAGCTACCATATGTTAGCACGTGTGCACTTCAGCTTTAAAACTGAACCTATTTGCTTTTGTCCATTTTAGGCCGTTGACAATACCAGAATAACCTCTGATGAGAGTGAATGGCAAGTTTAGTTAAAGGGCTCTCTGATCAATAAAGAAATGAGTGTAGCCTTCTGTGGCCCCGAGGCCGGATTGACTGAGTTAATTAGGGAACTGAAGGACCCAATTAGTGGAATTGGGGGGCGGGGGGGCACATATTGTGTAACAAATGCACATATTGCGCGGCGTCTGGATACAGGGAGACTTCAATTAAAAGACGGGAGACCTCATGGAAACGGCAGGCTGACCCTTTTAACATACTGTTAAACCACGCTTCCTCTTTCACACACTGTGCATACTGATGAGCAAAACACAGCTGGGACGGGCTCACCGCACACACACGCACGACATACGTCTCCACACGCACTCACTCACATATGCATACACACCCTTTGGGGGCCCATATGAAAAGCGCAGAGGGCAGTGGGCTCAGGTGGGTGTTAAAATGGCCCCATCAGGGCCTTCATCCATATGGACCAGGCTGAATTCTAATGACGTGATAAACTCCTCTTGTCAGTTCCATTATGGGCAAATTCATTACCTGATTGTGTGTAACAGGGTGATGAGAGTAAAGTGGCTCAGCTTGTGGATCGACTTTGCTGTTGGTGCTCAATTTGCTATCTACATTTAACTCAGATGTGCATTATATGTGACATAGGTATACGCACTAGGGAACAGTGTTGGGGTGCTTACTCAAAAAAAGTAATCATTTACAACCTAGAAAGGGAATGAACTTTAAGTTGGCTTGACAAAGTCAGCTATTAATTCTTCAGAAGTTAAAGTTGCACAACACTGTTGGTTGTTTTTAATAACTTAATTGGGTTTATATAGCATTTCCAGGTGGTTGCTAGGGTGTTCATTCCTATGGGGAAAAGATTGTGTTTGAACAAACACTGTGTGAACACTGTAAGTCAGACTGGTTCAAAAAAGCACACACAATGCGGTGGCTCACTTCACAGGTTTCAGATGAAGTCTGTGCTAGCTTTCGCCCTCCTACACTGTCAGAAATAAAAATACCGTGCAGGTACATTTTTCGTTCATCAAGGTACAAACAATGTAAATGTTCCCTCAAAGGTACAACAGTGGTTTTAAGGTCCAATTGTGCACCTTAAATATGTTTTTCCAGGTGAAAAGTACGTATTTGTACTTTTTCATAACCATATGTTTTAAAACAGAACAATAAAATAAAAAGCCTGGAGACGAGATGGGGTGTGTGGAGTCAGTACAGCTTAGAGCATATCATTTCAGTGGATCATGATACAGTTATGTTCCCTGAGTAAGGGTACTGAGATGTACCCTTGAGGGTGCCACCCCAGTGACAAGAGGGGTACAGCTCCAGTGACAGTCTCGTTCCTTTATTTCTGAGAGTATAGCGCTAGTGGTATCATGTGATTGGGGGATTCGTAACTAGTGGGTGGATTCAGATATGCCTAAATTGTGGAGAAAAAAGAAAAAGCACAAGCATAACTATCTACACTTTATGTTCTACAACTGTGTAAAGTTTGGTGGTTCTAGCTCAAAAGCTGCAGACCGTGGAAAGGGATTTTCCTACTTTCCTAGTCTTTAAACAAGAAAATCCCATCCTCCACCATTTCAGAATCATTTCTCTGATTTTTAGTTTCTCCTCGTGTTATGGGAGTTGGCAGTTTTTTCCCACCTACTATAGTCCACATTCATTGCACAGAATCTTTATAAGCTTAACAACATTTAAATGCCCTGCAAAATAAGTAAACACGCCCTTATCAAACATGCTTTACTTCCTCAAGCCCATTGTGAGCAGTGCTGCCAAAACTGGCCTCCACGCCTATTTCATTGAAGCAGCTCAAACCAAACTCACGGCCATGTCTCTGTAGCGGAAATTTCTGGAGTGATAATCAAGTGCTCCCCTTTATACTTAGCCTAAGTGTCAATTCAGAGCAGTTCTCTAATGCATAAACCAGTGTTTTCAACCTCTAGTCCTTTGCTGTATCTAAAATTCTGCTCACCTCTGGCAAAATGCTACTTCTGAAGGATTGGTGGGTCTAAACCATACTTTTCATCAGATAGTAGACAAAAAGTATTCCACGCCAACTCACCTAGACTCTGTCTGGTCATATCATGGATTTCTATAAAAAAGAAGGAAACATAAATGTCAGTTTCATTCATGCAATCATGCAAAATTTCTAAGCTGTGCCCCAATTAGTTTTTCAATTCTGTTTTTTAAAAGTTCCCCTGTTAGGCTCTAAATTATATCTTAAATATTGAGTTTAGCTGCTACATAACGACCAGGCCCTTCTTGCTCTGAGGTGGCATACAGTTTTACTCAATATTTGGCAGGCTGTATTGCACTAAGTCCAGTTAAACTGGACTAATTTTGCTGTCTTTCCAATGAAACATGCAGTTGGTCAGTGTTCTGCAACTACTGAAGATCTCCACGATATGTTCAGAAAAGCACATTGTATTGTGACACAATTTATCACCATAATGATGTATATTGTCGTATTGCCCAGTCCTACTCAAAACACACCCCCTTCAACTCAGTATGGGGTTGCTAATGAGCTGAATAGTTGGATCAGGTGTGTTGGGAGCACATATAACACTAAAACGTGCAGGGCAGTGGGCCTCCAGGGCCAGGGTTGAGAAACTCAGCTCTAATAAGAAAACTAGCAGTGTGTAATAAGAAACCTCTGCAAAAATATAGCACTCAATTTTTGACCAGAAGCCCTGCATAACCACTGCAGGATTTCCCTTTATTCCTGAACCTGGGTCATTATTAGAGTAGGAAAACAGGAATCTATGTAGTGCTGGACTGCACTGGACCTGAAACGCTTGCTGTAACGTACATGGCTGTCGATTTCGTTGGTGAGAAGTTTGACCCTTGTCAGTCGCCGTAGTGTCCTACTGAAACTATCTATTTTATTCATGTAAGTCCGGTTATGTATCCACAGTCGCACGCGTTTGCCTCTAAACGTGTATAAAATCCGTTGAAATGGATTAAACGCACTTGTTTACTCATTTTTTGTGGCTTTTACTGCAATCCGCTTTCCAGTTACACGGCTCGGGGTGACGACGACAACGACACGCCGATGACGTCATGCGCTGAAGATGGCGGAGGGGTGAGTTTTTTAAGCCTCTGAATTATTTTTATGCTCCAAATAAAACATTTCACACGCTCGTCTTTGCAGTTCAGCCCACCGTGAATACACTGTAATGCTCGGACTGAAGCGAACCGGACGATTTAGGATGAGCAGCGACGCGTCGGTGTCGCTGTCTTTGTGGTCCCGCAGACGCGGAGCGGGTTTGTTTACAAAAATAACGCAGTGCTGTCTGTAGCTAAGCTAACGATTACAGCGCAAGCGACGGTCATAAACGGGTTTATACAGCACAGTTCTGGGAAATTACGTGGTAAATCCATGTTTTTCTCTCCACGGTGTGTATTTTCGTGCGTTACAGTTGACAATTGTCAATGTTAACTGGCGCTATTTAGCGTTGGTGCCCCTAACTGAGAGACTAGCGGCGCCAGCTAGGTTAGGGTAACTGCTTTCTATCAGCTTTTCGTTTTTTTGAAGGCATTTTTGTCACTACGGGCCGGTTTCCGAGACCCAGATTAAGTCCAGGACTAGACTAACTTGGGTTTTCACCATTTACACTGAAGTTTCGTAGGAGACTTGGCTTGATTCATGTCCACGAAATATGCCCTATAAGCTAACGTCACACATTTAGCTAATGTTGCTGATGTGTAACGGTAGCTGGTCTCCAGGCTCACCATGTAAGCCTGAAATATCACGTTTCATGCATTGCATTTTCATTACAGAAAACAGTGAAGACGTTTGACATTTAAGAAATGTCAGCCCAAGTTGTACGTCTAGGTTCAGGGGTGTCTAAATAATCAAAATATTTTAGGGCCGGGGTCCTAACAATTTGTCTTACCGAGCATGCGCGTATCATTAGTACAGCGTAGTAACTTAGTGTTTCAGACGTTTTATTGTCTTTTCTAATGCTAATCCAGGACAGACTCTGCTTAATATTACTACTTACTCCCTGTTAGAGAGGTTTAGGCGATCAAAATAGCCTAATTATTCTTTTAATGCTTGTAACACTTTCTGATATGGAGATATCAGAATATCCCACTGATACATTTCAGTGCTAGTAGCATTTTCTGATGGGGTGACTGAGGCTGTCAGACTATCCTACATGTAGTTTTAATGCTGGTTGCATTTTTTGATAGGGTAATTTTGGGTAACAGAATAATCTACCTAGAGTTTTTTTGTAGATCTGCCTATAAATATGCGTTATGGCAGGACATTTTGACAAGGTAGCATAATTGATCAGAACACTGGATTTTTGCACATGGATTAAGCCTAGTCTTGGACTAAACTGCTATGTTAAAGGTGTTTTGCCATTGAAAACTCATTTAGTCTAGGCTTGAGTGTAATCCGGGTCTGGAAAAGCTACTTATTATTATTCAGTGCCTCCCTGAATGTGTTGAGTAAAGTGTCATTGGTGAGCACCATGCCATCAGACAGCTAGAAAAGACTGAACAGCTGTTCAGCCTTGATTTTCTTGCATTTCTTGCTTTTCTTGCTTTTATGCCAGTGACAGCCTACAGTATATCTTCATAAACATCTGATATAAGCACTGATTTTGAGGCTAATGCATGTCACTCTGTCTGTCAATCACAGGGAAGGAGGATGGTGGGGTGGCTGGCTACAGCAAAGCTACCAGGCCATCAAAGACAGAGTGAGTATTTTAGTGTGGACCAGAGAAGTCCACTCGTTTACAGAGGGCTAAAGTCCAGCACAGCTTCGTCATTTTCCTCTTTTGTCACAGTTAATTACCAGTTTTAGTAGCTAAGAAAAGGCAAGTCACCAAACTGTGTGTTTACTGTTGTTTTGCTGGTGTGTGGCTACCTGCCAACAGTTTGCTTCTTGTGGATATAGGCCTAGTGAAATTTGCAATGACATGAATTGTGTCAGATTTAAAAAGCATCTTCAACAAATATGTGTTGTGCACAGAGCTTTTATAATGTTCTGAGAACTGTGTTCTTTTGGTGTCATTATTTTTTTAGTATATCATGGAAGCAATCCAGTTATTACCTATTGAACCACAGTTAGGTTTGACCTCTGTATAAATTCTATGAGTGCCAGAATCACGCCATAATGCTCTGGCCGAGTCTCTTTAAGTATGTTTCCACCTCATTCACCTGTAACCTAGCAATGACTGCCAGCCGTTGCGAAAAAGGCAAACAAAGCAAGTAATGAGAAGCTGAGATGCACAATAACTAATTTACTAAATATGTTGGCTAAAAATTATTTTCAATTTAATTCCAAATGATCAAGCTATTATTGACCAACCTGTATTTATTTACTTTAAATGGACCAAGTTGATGCAAATGGTCATCTGTATGTACAGGAGTATCAGTAATAAAACTGTGGTATAATCGAAATTATACACTCAAGGTTGTGTGATACCATGATATATTGACTCTGATCTTTGGTGCTCAGTCTACAACTGCGGAGCGCCAATGCCAATCTCCTTCTAACTACTGGTTTATTTGTCTCTACAGTCATCTGAAGCATACGAGTTTCTCAAACGGGATTTAACAGAGTTTTCCAACGTGGTGCAGCATGACACTGCATGTTCTATTGTTGCGACGGCAAGTGCTGTCAGGAACAAACTGGCGGTATGGCTCGTGTTTTCTGATTAATTATAAATTTATGGCACAACATACAAAGAAATCTACATATTCTGTACTGGGTGTCCTTATTCCAGTAAGCTTTAAGTCTGTGTTTTTTCCTTTGACACACTTACAAAGAAAGTGATGGCTTTAATGGGTCATGCCTGTGTTGATCTTCTGAAAACCTGAATCTGTACTATGTTCGTAGGTGGAAGGCTCGTCAGAGACCACAGAGAAGATGAAGAAAGGCATCTCCAATATACTGGGAGTGATCACAGACACGCTCGCCCCTCCACCTGATAAGACCATTGACTGTGATGTGATAACGCTGGTGGCCACTCCAGCTGGCACTACAGAAGTGTATGACAGCAGCAAGGTCAGTCTGCAGATTAAAGAGGTGTATGTAAACAGTTTGGAGGCCATTCAGTTTGAGCCAGCACACTCTTTCTGACAGAGAACTGTTTTAACAGCTCTTGTGGTGGTCCATTAACTCTTGGCTGCATGATGTGGTCATGTGGCAAGAAATTGTTATACTGAAAATGTTTAAAAAGTATTAATACACATTGTGAATGTTTCACCACAGTTTTTCTATCAATTATACATGTATTATATTGGTAGGACCTCTCGTATAATAACAACAAAAAACTTACAATTTAAACAGAAAAGCAGTTTTCACTAGCACTACTGTTGTTTCACGTTCAGATTATAACTGTGGTAACATGTTCTGGCAGGTGCTTAGCTGGGTGACTGTAGCAGTGGGCTTTTTACTGTCACTTTTTTTTTTTTTAAACAATTTGGGACAGTATGATTATCACTGGATAGTATACCATAGTATGTCGATAAAACCAGTTATTTATTTTATTGGGCCATTTGCTGAGTTGTATAATCTGGCAGATTTCTATATCAGTATTCTATCCCCTGTCTGCCCTGCATCTCAAATATATATATGTGTGCCTCACTAACTGTACATTGGAAATGTGCAATACTGGTGCATGTTAATGTATATATTGTGTATATGTATATTTTTTTCTCATATATATATACTACAAGGGGGCTACACACCTAGATTTTCACTCACTTTTGCACCTGTGTAATGTGATATGACAAACGTGATTTGATTTGATTTGAATAAACATAGTCTACAGTGTTTGCATTGAGTAATTTGGGTTTTGTTTTTCTTTAGGCTCGTCTGTATAGTTTACAGGCAGACCCTGCAACATACTGCAATGAACCTGATGGTACGTTTCTCTCTCTTCTCCCCATGAGGTTTCTGTTACTTTCTTTATTTCACATTCTCTCCGGCTTGCTTGTTTGGTTAAGTTCTAATCTTGAAAATCTTTGTTGTTCTCTGTTGTCCAGAGTCATTATGTAATGAGATGGAGACAGTAGATAAGTCAGTGTATAGGTTATTGTGGGCCAAATGCAGGATGGATTTTGAGAGGAGTGCAGGAGTGAGGTCCGAGTTTAGATTCAGCCCTGCTTACATCATTACATAGTTGTCTTAAATACCTTTTAAAAGGGCAAGATGAATGAAGAAACCCTTAGAACATGACTGAAGCAGGATTACTTTTTTTTTTTTTTGAATAAAGGCAAAATATTCCATTATAACATTGATTAAGACAAGCTATATTAACTGCTTATTGGGTTACTTCAGTTAAAACTGCAGGAGCACAGTAAAAGTCTGCTGAATGACTGCAGGCCTGCACACTGTAACCTCTTTAAAGGGTAAGAAAAAAGGCCAACGTGAAGTTGCTGTTTGGTAACAGTGCATGTATGCAGTCAAATTGTGTGCAGTTAAAATGGTTTAAATAGTTATAAATGTAGAAGACCGTCAAGATTTGTTTAAGGTCTTTAATACAGTGAATCATATTTTAAAGCTAAAAGTTAGAAATAGGATAGTTGCACCTTGCATTTTTTGTCTATATTGTGCAGCCATAGTCTTCAGTATCCTTGGCATTTAAAATGGTTTCAGTAGTTATTTAAAGTGTTTTGCGCTGTTAGGTCCTTTTGTTAGTTTACAGAGCCTGAGAGAAGTGCTAATGTCTGTCTTGTGAGAGATGCGTAGAGATTTCTGAAACAGCTCATGGCAGCGTATGTGAGAAACTGTTTGTGGATTGTGGAGGTGAAGCTGGTGTTTGTTTCTTCAGGCCCTCCAGAGCAGTTTGACACTTGGCTTTCCAGCTTCAGCCTGGAGGAGAAAAAAGCTGAAATCTCTGACCTGCTGGTCAACAGCCCCTCCATCAGAGCTCTCTACACTAAAATGGTATGATTTGTTTTTCCATTCACCAAAATGGTGACCTATCAGTCCAGTCAGTATATTATTTTTACAGTACAAGCAGCCTGTATTGAGGTTCCAGATTTATTGGTATGTATGAAAATCCCACAAATAAAATATTCATATTTAAAGAGAAGAGAACTGATGAAAAACAAAATACAGACTAATTATTACAAACCTACAAAACGCAGATTGAGATGTTCCGACCAGAATACAGAATTTCAGAGTTTTTGCTGTTTCTGAGTTTAAGAAATCTGACACTTGTTAATCAGCAGTTATATTTGAGAGTAGTAATAGTTAGTAAGGCTCTTTTTAACCAAACCGTTTGACATTTAATGATTTCAAATGATATTGGAAAACAAATTATATGTTTTCAGTTACTCCATTTTGGTATTGGTGAGAAAAAGTTAATATCAATTGACCTGTAATGATACATCCTATATAGTTCATTTACCTAAATTTCCCATCTTCATATCTTACTGAACTGCATGTTCTAATGTCTCTGTTTTTGAGTGCCTGTTTTACGTCTGTTGTTGAGAGACTGGCACAGTGCTGCTGTTGTTCCCCTTCTCTTTGCTCTTTAGTAGCAGTGCAAAGAAGGGTGATTTCCTGTGCCATAAAATAATGGAGCTATTGTCTGATTAGACATTTCGTTGAATTGCTTTACTGTCTGTATTTCTTATTTAATAATTCCAACATAATTACACTATTCATTTGACCTCTGATTGCCAGCTTAATCAGTAAATGATTCAATTTTATGTTTAAATCTCATGAAAAAGCTTAAATTGAGTTGAGGCTTTTTAGTGCAAGGCAATTCAATGATTGAGTGATGATTAAATCTCAAGCATAAAGTACAAATTAAATATATTTTCTGGCTTTGATAGTAAAGTTGGGTATTACAGTAGACTTTCGACAGCAGTATTGTGTAAAATTCTTCAGATGTTGTTCGTAGACCCAATAGCCATGTATGTATTTCTTATCTGTTTATTTTTGTGTTTTTTTTTCCTGTTTTCCTGTTTAGGTGCCAGCAGCTGTGGCTCATTCTGAGTTTTGGCAGCGTTACTTTTACAAAGTGTTTCAGTTGGACCAGGTACAGCGTAATTCTCGTGCTCTCTTCTCTTTGTCTTTATGTGTGTATATATTTATATTTGTACACATTTTATCACTTTTTAAGCATTGCCATTGTGTCACCTGTCAATCCTTGGTTATATCCGATTACAATCGCCGTATCACCCAGGCCTAGTTGGGGTTAGAGATGGACAACATGACAGTATTTTCATTATTGTGATCAATTATGTCATATTTCACGCAGTATGCTTTTCTGGGTATTTTCTTTAATGGTACTACTGGTATTTCTAGCTTAATCCATCTTATCAAAGTTAGCTTTGTTTTTATTTCTTCTTGTCACAGATGTGTTGGGAGAGGAGCAAAATGTCAAACCTTACTAAATGTCCAATATCATAACAACTAAATATTGTGAAGCATATTGAGCATCATGAAAACGTTTTGCCATATCACCCACCCGTAGTCGGAATAAAGCTAAAAGGTAGACCTGTGCTGTTAATATGAACCATAGTACAGTAGTCTGTTCCAACACAAGCATTAAGCCTTTACTCTCAATCCCTTTATAAGAAATGTTGCTTACAACAGGAAATGCGCTGTAGCCTTTATAGTACAGAAGCATGTTAAGTGGCCCCAGGTGGTCCAGTTCCAGCAGGCCTTTGTGGCCAAAATCCAGAGTTGGCATGAACTGTAGAACAGATTCCATTAATAAAGCGTTGGCCTTGATTCCTCTGTGCACTCAGCAAATTTTTCCCCCAGTAGCTTTAGAAGGGAAGCTGGAAGCAAATCAAATTTTTGGGAGGATTGTCATGTCTGAGGCACTCCGTGCCAGTGGTTTGCTTTGTGTGTGTGAAATGATTTAGACACACTATTTTTGTGTGTGTGTGTGTGTGTGTGTGTGTGTGTGTGTGTGTGTGTGTGTGTGTTTTACCAGGAGGAGGCCAGGAGAGTGGCTCTGAAGCGGCGAGCAGAGGAGACCACTCAGTCAGAGAGTTTGGGTTGGGAGGAAGATGAGGAAGGTACAGTCTTTGTCACATTTCACTTAGAGATAAGTCAGAATGTTAAATTGTCTAATAGTCATGAAAAATCAAATAGTAAATTAATTTTTGATAAGCAAAATTAGCTTGTCTCTGGTAGTAAGAACCATCATATGCCTGAACTCTATACTCCACCAGAGGGCAGTGAAGAGCCTGCATCTTACATTTTGGTCAGAATTTCTTATCTATTTCCTCCAAAGAGGGAAGCACAGAAACACTGCTGCAGCTGGCTGTGTTCGATGAGACAGACTCCTTCTTGTCATGCATCTGAACAGAGATGAAGTTCCAAGGGGCAACTCCCCACGTCCATGTAATTAGAGTGCGCAATGGCCCATAAATGTCTCCCTAATAAGTTGGAAAATGTAGATATTAAAGTCGTCCGACATTGCGATTAACAGCAACAGTTATAGCTGATAATTTATGCACATGTGGTGGTGTAACACCCCCCCCTCACAGACGTTGAGTGGAGGTGCAATTCCTCGCCCAAACAAGAGCACTGTTGCAATATTATGTGTGTGGTATTAATGACTAGGGCTGCCACTAAGAATTGTTACTGTAATGGATTAATCAATTAAATGTTATTTGATTAATGACCATAACAATCATTTTATATCTTTTGCTGTTTCCATTCGCTTCTGTCATAGTGCCACATCATTTGAAAACCTATCTGTGTTTCTCTTTTATGCAACAAGCCAACAGAAGCCACATCATCCCCTACACTTCCTGTAGTGTACTGCAGTCTGACAGAATATTTGCATGCATCATATCAACCTTAAAGAGCAGGGTCAGGAACTGAGCGCCAATACAGTCTGCTGATTTCATTGCTCTGTTGCACCTACTAAACCTGATAATTCACTGATGAGTTAAATCAGGTCAGGATTTTTTTTTGTTTTGTTTTTTTATATAATCAGGGTCATATACAACTTTTTGACTTTAGCTCTATTGGAGCGAATGGGCAAATTCTGTAATTTAGGTGATTATTGACGTGATCCCTGATTTTAATCCAGTATAAATCTGCAGTATATGTAGTTTTACAGACTGACTGTAATAATTGTGGAGTAATTTTAATCCAGTATGAATCTGTAGTGGATTAATGATCCTCACTAATTGGATGAACCCGGAGCTCCCTCAATAATAGTAAGCATGTTTCAATACATAAGATAATGGTGTTGTCTGTTATTGCCGTTCTGTTTGGGAATTTATTTGCGAAATGACACAGTTACTTTATCACAGGGGTCAGCAACATGCAGCTCTTTTACTGCCCTGTTGCGGTTCCATAGCAGAATTAGATTTTTAGGTAAAAATAAAATAATCCTCCTTTGCTGTAAAATAAAGCTCTGCTCATCGTTCAACACAGTTTAACAATAAATGGTGCTAAACACTGGAGTTAATGCATAACTGCCTATTCACCTGACATGTTTAATCTGCAACGAGAAACTGTCAAACACTAAAGTTGCGTGGCTGAAGTCAGTTTTTCATTCGCCAGTTTCTTGTTCGAATTTTCCTGTTCCACCTTAAATGTTGCGGCAGTTCTGCCACCTCAGGCACATTTAAGGTGGAACAGGAAAATTCAAACAAGAAGCCGGTGAGCCTTGAAAGTCGAACGTTGAGAGACATTTTACAAGAAACTGTTCTACTTTTGCAAAATGTGTCCTGCTGGAGATGTGAGAAAAGCAGCTATAACTGAGATAAAGCTTAAAGCAGAACAAAGTGAGTCTGCATTTTCATTTATATTATATTTTTAGCCTATACTAGTCCTACTGAGACATATTTACAGCCAAGATGGTCAGATGGACATAAAATGTTGTGGCTCCCATGGTGGTTTAATTTTTGTTGAAAGGACAAAATGGCTCTTCTTGACATTTGGGTTGCGGACCCCTGCTTTATCACATACCAATCCTGGCAAGTTACTTTACACAACCTCCTCTGGTAAAAGTACTCCAGTGTAAATAGTGATTTTGTATGCTAATTGTTTGCTTGCTAATAATGTAATCACAATTCTATTATGATCTCTTAAGATGAGTTTCTTGGGGCCACATCTACATCTCGCTTGGACTTCACCCCTCCTCTTGAGAACTCCCAACTCCCTACCGTAACCATAGAGACCCCCTGCGAGCCGGCAGTCTCCCCTGTTGATGCTGCGTCTGACGTGACTCCCTCTGTCAGCAGTGACAGTGTCAGTCTCCCCACTCAGCTGGAAAATAATCCGGAACAGCCTGTGAGTACCAATAGGCCAGCACCCGCGGAGGAGGTCACCCTGAAGCTCTCTGAGGCCCGGCTGGAGAGAGCGGAGGAGAAGCAGGCAGGCTCGGAGCAGACCTCCTCCCTGGGGGCAGAAAGAGATCAGACCCCCGCTGAGAATGGCACTGCCAAAGCGGAACAAACCAGAGAGGAGGGACCGCAAGACCTCCGAGTGTTTGAGCTCAACTCTGACAGCGGCAAGTCTACGCCTTCCAACAATGGCAAGAAAGGTGAGAGAGTGTAGGATAATAATAATTGCAGTTAAACTGATCAAAGCAATACAGTTAAACTACTAATCAGATTTACACATAATTCCACTCCCAAAATGTGGTTGGATCAGGCGAAATGTTTATAGGGTCCAAGGTTTGCTATTTTAGTTTAGTACTGGAGCTGTGAGGCTAATGCAGCTAACAAGTAATGCAGACTTATGTGCACATATTAGTATCATACAAACTGCATGCATACATCACACACTTGCCCTCAGACTGCTTTTAGGTGTTCAGTAATCTCAAATCTTGACTCCGTATGACTTACTGTTATCTATAAAAATGATCAAAATTTGACGTTTGCTTTAGCTGAACTGTTGCTTTAAGACATAGAGAGGAAACTTACAGGCTTGAAACCAGAACTTGGTTTGTGTGCGGTATTTAAATGTCATGGTGTGAAAACCACATAGCCATGACATCGCCATGTAAATACTTAATCAGCAAGTTTATTACAGCTCAGTTATAGGCAAACCAGTCTTGGTCTACTCAAAAGAGGTAAAAAAATTAATCTGTTTTTCAGTAAACAAATCCAAGAGCTGCCTCTAAAAAACACCGAGATCAAGCCTGCAGCAGCAAGCCCAGAACTGATGGTACTGACAAGAGCTTTAAAAGTGATAGTCGGGCAAAAAGTCATGCATACACAGTTTTACCCTTACACCAAGTAGACCACTGAAGTTATCTTGTCATTCTGTAGTCGGCGTCATGCTCGTTTTAGGAGCTCTGGGTCTAAGCTGGACAAAAATGAATGGGATTTTCAAAAATCACTGCTGTGGTAAACAAAAAGGTTCCATACCTGCTACGTTTTGTCCTACGTTTGGCTACATGTGAGCTATCACTGCTGGACACTGAATTGACAGCATAAAGCCCTATTCTGACTTCCATGGGGGGGGTGGGATAATGAAAATTTATCTCAGGATGTCTGTAATGTGTTTATGAGTGATTTGCACGTCATATCTCAATATAAATGACAGAAATGGAGCGGCTACTTGATGTATGCGCCGCCTTTACTCAACAAAAGAGTAGAAAAGATGTTACAACATTCAATGTAGCCGTTATTTTGTTTACCCTAACAATTTACCTTTCTGACTTAAGTGAATTAAGTGCATCATTAGTGTCACCGTTGGCCTGAATTCATGTCAGACAGATAACTTCGCATAAAATCACATTTTTTTCTCGTAATTTTTACCTGTTCTGATTTTTGCATGTGAGACAGGACAGTAACGTTACACATCAGCCTGATTTTAGCCACAGAAAACAACGAGGCTGAAGTTGGCTTCCTATTCGCCAGGTTCTTGTTCAGATTTTCTCATTCCACCTTAAATGGTGCCTCAGGCGTTACAATAAAAACTGCTGCACAATTAAGGTGGAACGGGAAAATTCAAACAAGAAGCTGACTTCAGCGTCGTCAGAGAACACGAGTAAACACTTCTTCGAGTGTCTCTTTTTCCACAGAACATGGTAGCTTTTTCACCGACCTGTCGATTGGCACGGGACTAATATAACCTGATGTTGTTTTAATGGCTCGTTTCACAGAAGGTAAAACCATCTTTATTAATGTAGGAGTGCGCTAACATGTAACATCTTACATCTCTGAGAAACGCCAGTAATAACTGCATTTCCCCATCTCCTCAGGAAAAACTAATTCCGTCTGAATAGACTTGACAATCACTCCGGTTTCCTCCCACAGTCCAGAAACATGCAGTCAGGCCAACTGGACATGCTAAATTGCCCCTAGGTGTGAGTGTGTGTGTGCAAATGTGTATGTCTGTCTGTCTGCCCTGCGATGGACTAGCGACCTGTCCAGGGTGTATCCTGCCTTCCGCCCAATGACAGCTGGGATAGGCTCCAGCACCCCACCGCGACCCAGAAGGATAAGCGGTTTAGATGATGGACGGATAGACTTGACAATCTGACCAAAATGCACTAAACAAATCAGCAAGCTTTGTTCAGTTTGCTAGTTAGACTGTTTTGGCAGTGGTAGAATACGTTTGGTTTAAGTTTAATAGTACTTACTTGTATGCAACATCATTTCAGTCAAAGAGTGGGAGTTTGCTATTAGCATAGATGTAGCAAAGTTCAGGCGTGATGGCTGCAGCTACTGTTTTTAGTTTATTTACTTTAGGACGCCAAACATGTTTTGGCTGATTGTTTATACTTGAGAAAATGCTTTAAGTTTTATTTTTCTGTTAATCTGTACTGTAACAGGAATAAAAGCCAGTGTTTGTGGTGTTTTATTGTATATTTACTGTAAAAGTCTGTGTTACGGCAGGTTCCAGTACTGATGTAAGTGAGGACTGGGAGAAAGACTTCGACCTGGATATGACGGAAGAGGAGGTTCAGATGGCTCTGTCTAAAGTCGATGCCACCGCAGAGGTACAGCCCCACCCGTTATAAACCATTTTACCGTTCAAGGATGTTAAATTATGAAATGTAATTTAGTTAGAACTTACAGGTTTGTATGATGTTTATTTTCAGAGGACTGTTTTAGCTGTAAATTCAAAGAGAATTTAAGAGTAAAGAGGAAGATTTTAGGAGTATGCAGTTAGGAGTTAGCAATATGGGAAAGAAAGTACTTTCTTGTAATACTAGAGATTTTCATGTAGTATCACAATATATAATTTTTCTGAGGTTTGTAAGCCATTTGGAAAGGAGAAAATACACTAGCAAAATAGCAGTTTAAGAACTGACTGAGCATGAAAAACTAGTAAAAGTAGTCTTTTGTATAGAATTTCTAAAAATAAGCTGTTTAAGAGCTGAACTGCAAGCAGCTGGATAAAATAAAATAATAAGGTAAAGACAACGGACAGCTATTCATTCAGCTACTATGCAGTTATATGCTGGATGTTTTGTGCAGGCTGTCAACTTTTTTATGATGCAGTTGTACAATATCCATGATGTACTCAGAAAAGCATAATTTATCATGATAACAGTAACATTTATGGGCACCCATATAAGCAAATGAGAATAGCTTAACATGTTCTCTAGACAGATGGTTATTTATTTATTTTTTTTCTTTTAGTTTGAAGACGAGGACTGGGAGAACTGGGACTGAAGTGCTGAGGCAGTGATTTCTGGCCTGTTGCTGACGTGAGACTTCACCGGTCCCAAACGAACCATGCTTTAACGTCTCTAAACTCTTCGTCCACACCCACACCTTCTCATTGAGGCAATCGGAAGAGAAGAACGGCCGCAGGCTCTCCTGATTGGGTGGCTTCCAGCCGATGAAATTTAGTTCAGAGCTGTGCACGTTTAAAATCTCCACCCAGCAGCTGTGTTGTGTAATACATTTTTCAGAGGTAATACTTAAGCTGTCTTGGGGAGGAAATTGCTGTAGAGCAGATGCCCTACTCTAGCTATGGATGCTTGAAGTGGAACAGGACACATTTGTGTTCAACAAAGGAGAGGCAAATGCCTAAGATTTGTAATGGAGATGGTGTCCAGGAAAAAAAGAGCGATCAGGCGATGCCATCTAAGCTTACAGTATATAAATTGTTGTACTTTTATTGTAGGAGTCTGGGGAAAAAAAAAAACAATAATTAACTTTTTGCCATACTCTATCATGCTGCTTGTCACTCTTCTAGGATTAGGAAATAATCCTTCACATGAAAAATATATGTAATTTATATGTTTCTCATTTTGTGTTCTATCTTTGGCATAATGTAAGTTTGCTTTTTTTTCGTTGTCTACAAAGTACTAACATCTCTAAACTTATGCAAGTGATATTAGCATTCAACATGGAGAACACGTTTGGCCTTTTCAGAGAGGACTGTCGCACTTTCTTTTCGGATCAGAACGTGGCTACCTGCGCTACATGGCCTTGTTCGTTGTTGTGTGGAATGGGGAAAAAATGTATTTTGTCACACATTGAAAAAGTTAATATTTGACTAAACACAACCAGTCCTTCCCGTGCATTCCGATTTATTCTGGTTTGTCCTTTTCCCTTTATCTGTGTTGATGGGAACTCCCAGCGGGGTTCTACATTTCCAGGGCTAAAATGGGAAGTGATTTTGAGTTCTGCTCTGTATATGTATACTTACTCTGTTTTGGGGTTAATGTAGCTTTAGAGAATGCTGAATTGTGTAATTATAGTTACTGTGCAAATGAGATGTTCTTTATTTTCGCTTTTTCCAACTTGGATATTGGTAATTTAATGAATTCAGATAATTACACAGTAATTTCAGTTTGTTTTACTCTTTCTTTCTTCTTTTTAGCTACGGTGCTGTGCAGAAATCAGAGACCACCCTTCAGTTATTTCATTTCAAATCAAAACGGCCATTAAGTACAAGTTCATTTTTGAGCAACTAAAATATATTGCGTTTTCAGTATTTTAGTGAGTGCAATCTTTGGCTATTACAGTTTCCATTCATTTTGGTTTCTGAAAGAAATCTGCAGCCACACCTCTAAAGTTCAGTCTTAGAAGTTGGTTGCATTTTCTGCCTCTCACTCTCTAAGTTATTCCAAACACATTCAGTGATGTTGAGGTCTGGACTCTGGGTGGCCAGTCCGTCGTTCTGAGAACACCAGAGTGTTGTGGAGTTTAAGTCTCTCCTATCTCTAAATGATAAAGTGCTGTTTATCTGATATGGACAGTCTTGGTGTCTACCAGGTCTTCCAGGTGGTTGTTAGGAGTCTCATTTTCTCTTTAGCTTTTAATCATTTTTTTAAACTCCAGTTTTGGAAGCTCCTGATATTTCACTTATTTTTCTTTGACTTTCTCCTTCCGTATGCAAGTGGATTATCTTACATCAAATCTTCTTAGAAATATCTCCTGGGGGCTCTGAGTGGTGCAACCATCTAAGCATTGGCCCTATCATCAGGAGATGGTGATGCCCTGCCTCTTCCCCAATCACTCAGTGCGATGCTAGTCAGCGCAGGCATCTGTTAGCTGACATAACAAAACTGGCAGTTGATGTTTTCCTCTGAGCACTTTCAGCTGTCCAATGACGTTGCGTGAGCGGCAGTTCGAACAGATGTGGTGGTGCTTCACAAGTCTCAGAGGAAGCCTGTGCTAGCCTTGCCCTCCTAGCGCTGGTGGTATCGTGTGATTGGGGGAGAATTAGATACAAAAAAATTGGGGAAAAATAATAAAAATCTCCTGAAACATGAATAGTTTGTGCTTAAAGGCTGTTTTGACTGGAAGTTAATTAAACGATGAGTGGTCTCTGACTTTTGCGTAGTACTGTATATCCTTTTTAAGTAAGCTGTATTAATCAGTTTGCTCATTCTAGGCCTGCAGTCATAAAGCTTCTCATTGCTGCTCTAGTATCTACTCCTATGAGCAAGATCATCATAAATAAGAGGAATCTGATCCTGGGTCAGCACTCCTTCTTTAAGAAGCTTTATGCATCCAGGCCCAGGTGTACACCTTGATGTTAGTGGGGTGGGTGCATGGATAAGACCGGTGTTTCTACGGCAGTGCTGTGGTTCCACCTTCACCGCGCAGTGTCGTGTATTTTCCTGCTCTAACACTTCTAATTCAGATCTAGAAAGACTAGATCACTAGCTGATCACGCTATGATATGATGCAGGAAAACACCAACTGAAGTAGTATCTGTGTCCAAAACCGCATATTAATATACTCTACAGAATATGTACCACCTCCTTGTTTCTACACTCATTGTCCATTTAATCAGCTCCACTTACTATATAGGTGCACTTTGTAGTTCTACAGTTACAGACTGTAGTCCATCTGTTTCTCTGCATACTTTGTTAGCCCCCTTTTACCCTGTTCTTCAGTGGTCAGGACCCCCATGGACCCTCACAGAGCAGGTACTATTTGGGTGGTGGATCATTCTCAGCACTGCAGTAACACTGATATGGTGGTGGTGTGTTACTGTGTGTTGCGCTGGTCTGAGTGGATCAGACACAGCAGTGCTACTGGAGTTTTTAAACACTGTGTCCACTCACTGTCCAGTCTATTAGACACTCCTACCTTGTCAGTCCCCCTTGAAGAAATAGAAACAAGGAGGTGGTCATAATGTTATGCCTGATCGGTGTATATGTACTATGACGCATTCAAATTAGGGTAAGACCATTGTTTCCCTCTTTTTGCCTTTATAATGCAAGAACCTAAAGTAGGTTCATGCCAAAAGACAATGAGTAGACAACCATTCCCTTTTTTCTAAATGACATTTGGTTTGGACACTCTTATTTTATCTTGGCTTTTTCATTCCAACGAGAATGAATTAATGCTTCAAAAATAAAGTCTTTCTAATGGGAAACCCCTTCAAACAATGAGAACCTGCACTCAGGAAGGTACAGCAAGAGGGCTGTCTTTTTTTCCTCCATTTGTAACCTCATGAAGAGATGGTACAGGTTGGAGAATCACAGACATAACAGTAGCAGATAATATTCGATTGACGTCACATTTGTCACCACTGCCATATTGTTGACATACCACCGGTCAACGAAGCCATGACAGCAGGAACAGCGCTACTCAGAGAGCCGTCGTTGGTTTATAAAGCATCCTGACAGATAGCGTATAGCCATGGTGAGCTGCATGGTTCAGAGCTGTAGTGATAACAGCAACAAAAAGCAAAAGCAGACAAGGAGAAATCATTGAATAGTCAGAATAAACAGGAAAAACTTTCCGCCACCTCCCGACCAAAGTCTGCTCTTCTGTTCTCATAGTTTTGCCAGAGGTAGACAGATAAGCGAAGGATGAATTCTGTAGTTTTTCCTTTGTTTTCCCTGATAGAAAGAACAGCATAGACCAGCATGCGTTTTGGATGCTGGTATGCTGGTCAACCAGCATGACAATGCAAGGTGACCAGCTGAACCAGCACCAGAACAGAATAAAGTTCATGCTGGTCTGTTCATTTTTTTTTCCCCAGCAGGGTTAAGAATGGTTCACTATTGACAGTTGACCTTGATTTGTGATTGTCTTTTGCAGTCTATTTATGTCTAGATCTCTTTGACTTGCTTCAGCTAGACAATGAATACAGTTAACGCAAGAGTGTTGGCTGGGCTCACTCTTAACATTAGGTCAACACTGATTAACCACATTAAACATAATCAGCAATCATTACGACGTTTGATTGTGTAGTTGATGGTAAACACAGAATATTGCTGACCCACAGATGAAATAAATGATTCTGCTGATTTGTATGCTTTAAGCTCCTGCGATGTGTAGATTGATACAGTATTTACAAGGTGATTATACTGCCTTAAAAAAATGGTTCTTCAAGGGTTCTTTACTAAGGAAAATAGCTCTAGAAAGAACCATGAACGTGAAATCATGAAAGGGTTTTTCAGATTGATAGAGAATGTGCTGTAGATGGTTCTGTATAGCACCCAAAAGGGTTCTTCTGTTGTTACAAGCTTGACATCATAACAACAGAAGAACCATTTACAGCACATTCTGAGAACCCTTTCATGATGCAAAGAACACTTTAACCTTGTGTGGTGTGGAGCAGTGGAACTGGGTTCTCTGGAGTGATGGAGCTCTATCCAACACTTTTGGGATGAGTTGGAGTGATCCCGAACTGACCATCCAACATCAGTACCTGACCTCACTAATGCTCAATCAATCAATCCTCACAGCAATGTTCCAACATTTAGAGTAAAGCCTTCCCTGAAGAGTAGAGGCTGTTACTGCAGCAAAGAGGGACAAATACCCTTGATTTCAGTAGAGACGTTGAAGTAGGAGGTGTCTACAAAGTTTTGGGCATGTAGTGTAGTAGGCTAACGGTCAGATAGAACTTCTCCTTATTGGCCTTCAGACAGTAATGGTCAGAATGAGTCTGATGCACTGAAGAAAATGTCGGTAAGAAACAAGATTACTGACGTGCCTGAGTGAATATTTTCATTAGAAGTGTTGACAGTAGGGTGCTACGTCACTAGAAACTAAAGACTTAAAGGGGAATTCCACCAGTTTTATTCAAAATTTCTGTTAAATTCAATTGTGGAGATGTAAACAAAGTCATTCCGAGTGGTTTGGTGTGAAATGGTTCACTGTAGAGAAACTCTGACTCAGATTGCTTTACAGTGGTGGTGATAGGAACCAGGGGTCACAATGTCTACAACACAAATACAGCCATTTTATTTACTATCAAAACCACCACATGCTATCTGAGTTTTTATGTTGATGATGGTAAAAGAGTGCGAACAAAAAATTCTGTGGTACTATTTTGCCTTAGAACAGCCTTCATGTACTGCATCAATATTTTATTTATTTATTTTTTTTTACATGTGCCATAGGCCAGAACCTTCTCAAAACTCTCATAAAACAATGTCTCAGGCAGACATCTGGTTCCTATCACCACCACAGTAAACAATTCTGACTCAAGTTTTTCTAGAATGGAGCATTTCACACCAAACCACTCTGAATGACTTAATTTACATCTTGACGATTTAAGTATGCAGAACTTTTGAAAAATTGGTGGCGTTCCCCTTTAATCACAAACTCATAACCAGTGATGTTAATGCTATTTACCTCTACTTGAATCAATACAGCACTGAATTCAGTCATTGAATCCAGTGAAAAACTATCTGCAGCCAACAGAGCAGGTTCAGGGCGTTGGACCTGTGAAATACGAACACTTGGTGGCAGTGTTGTCACACTGCTGTTGACACATCTGCTACCTGTAGAATGAGGGGAAAATCCCTTATCGTCATTGTATGCTGTCAGTTATGGAGATGAATATGCTTATCAGTGGTATTTTCTATGTAAGGAAGGTCTTTCTGCCTGAATTTATTTGACCATTGTACAGAGAAATGTAAGCTTACTGTAGACTTTAAAGGCAGATGTGACATGGATAATATGTAGATCATCTACACACGGTGTGCTTATGTGGTTAATGTAGGTCACAGTGGGAACACCTGCAGTGCTGCTTTTCCTCATCAGTACTTCTAAAAAAGACAGATAACGTCTCTCTCCACACGCACACACCTACATGTACATGTGCTCTGTTTGCACCTCTGGATCTCTCTCTCTTTTTCTCTCTCTTACTCATGTAAATTCAATGCAAATTCAGTGTTCATTTACCCTCATGACATTTGCCGTTCTCACACCTTCTCACAGGGATTTGCACCAATCGCAAATACTCAGACCCATATACAGCGGCCCCAAAAATGTGTTCGGATATTCCTAAAAAATTATTAAATTTGTTGTGGTAAGAAACATGATGTCAAACTATGTGGCAATTAAATAGACAGTATTCCAAGAGTTTTTGTG